AATGGATAATAAAGACAAAAAATGTTAGGCCTGAGAACGATCAAATAAAGGATCAACAGTGGCCGTAATAATTTATTTGTTTTTGTATGACTTCTACATGCACTTTTTACAGTAATTAATTTGTTTATGGTAAAATCTTACTTAGAAAATAGTATTAAAAAAGTAGAAAGTTGTAAGGTTTGTTACTGTTACTAAGAATATCATTACTGTTATTGTAGCGTCTTCTTAACCAAAGCTTGAATCTTCCTCTGGATTATACGACTGTATTAAGTTGCATCCCTGGACTACTTTTGGCTTACTCCTAATCAACCATTTTACTCGTGTAATTGGACCACTTGAATTGGCGTCACAGGCAGTTATTCACACACCCAACTACAAACTATTTCAAGATCCATTTTCATAAAGTGATGCGTTTGGACTAACTCAGCTGCAGGTACCTTTCTACACTTCTAACTAACCTTTCCTACCTTTAGCTTCCTTTTCCTTACTGACTTCTTTCTCTTTTATTTGTCTTTCCTCTTCCTTTCTTCTCCTCCCAGCTTCAGTTATTCTAAAGTAACTGAGAAAATCATAAGATAAATTATATAATAATTAAAAAGTAGATCAAAGAATAATTAATATAAAGTCATTGAACTTAAAAAAAATAGTGAGCGACATTTTAAGAGAATCCTATATAAAAGAGCTTAAAAATCTTGAGAAAGGATTGAAGAAAATTAGTGAGCTTCAACAGCCGAGTGAGGAAGAAGACTGCGCAGTATCAATCAGAAAATATAAAAATTACATTGATAAAGAAAGAATACAGATAAAATTCTAACGAAATAGTCTGGAGCAATCAGCAGGCATCTGCGAAAAATAGATAAATTCCTCCATAGAAGAATCCAACAAGGAGAAACAATCAAGTGTAATTATGGAACACTCGCAGTTGAAAAAAGCTGGGAAACCAATAGCTATTGTAGAAGCTGATATTGAACAATAGAAAGAAAACTTACACGAACTAACAAGTTACAGAGATGGAATAGGAAGCACTCATTTGCCTACTCCGACCATCCCTAGCTTTAGTAAGAACTTGACTGAATAGCCCTCCTATTGAAAAACATTTGAAATATATATAGACAAAAAAAAAGTACTTAAATAATATACAAAAATTGTTCCAGTTAATGGAAAACTTACAGAGGAAAGCTAATGAGTTGGTTAACTTACAGAGAAAAGCTAATGAGTTGGTTGAGAGATATACGATTACTTCAAATAACTATGAAACAGTTAAGAATTGTCTAAAAGAACGATTTGATAAACCGAACGCGGCTGTAGGAATTCCCCTTACTGAATCAGACAAGTTTCCAGTAGCTGAATCATGAGGAGCTGCAAAATTAAGACAAAAAATTGAGAGAGTCTTACAACGGTAAGAAGAATTTGACATTGATGTTAACTAAGAATTGATAAAGTTCATTGTAGGAAGTAAACTGCCAATAGAGATACTAATTCAGATTAAAAAGCAACAGTTTGAGGTTCCGGGATGAGATATGTCTAAACTAAGAGAAGCTCTTAAAAAAATACTAAGATAATCATGAAGAAGCCGCACAAATTAAAGAGCTAAGTCAGCAGAATTTGGAAAAAGCAAAAATACTCCCTAAAAATAACAAAGCAAGTTCCGTTTTTACAATTAAAGAAATTGAAAGCGATAAGATTCAGCCAGATAATGTAGGAAGAGAAGAATTAAATATAAATATGACTAGACTAAAAAAAAGGAAGGAGATTGTAAAAAAGGAAATTGAGTATTTGTGTATTTTTAAATGAGAACCATAGGAATTCGCAATGCCCCAAATATAAACCGGTAGAAGAGAGAAAAGAAAAGAGCGCAGGAATTAAAACTGTGCTCAAAATTTTTAAGAAAAAACCATACAATTAAACAATATCAAGTAACTCTTAAGTCATGCTACTATTGTAAGCAAAAACATAATGTATTGTTTTGCAAAACTAGGGAAAAGCAAATTTAACCAATAACGACCTCCTTCCCTCTGCAAAAATAAATAAATAACTGCAGGAATAAGGAAGGGCGAATTAACTTTCAAAACAAACTTTATAATAACACTCCCTAAATTAATTTTTATAGTTCAGTAAATCACTGCATTAATCCTTGCATTATATTCTTTAATAACTTCAAAGATACGATTAACTAGTTCAGGTATCTTTCCCTCAGCAAAAGAAACGTTCAGCGAACGTTGTGGATTCGAGTAATATCAGCAGCTGGAATCTCACAGAACTCTCTGTTAAAGCCAACTTTTGAGGTAGATCGATGACGTAGCCAAGTGGCACAAATTTTTTGAGGAAAACAGCGTTACCAATGGAAGTGATTATTAGCAGACACTGTATGCCTTCTTCGTACCACCTTCAGCAGTCATTCTTACCTTCTTTAAATTCTATGCAATGTGTGGTTAACTGCGAGCAGGGTGTAAGGAATTCATACTGAAGAATACATTGGTATTTTATAAGCGAAAGGCTTGAAAAAATTTTTAATGTTCCAAAAAATTGCCAGCAACTGTGTATTTTTTAAACACTTATCTGCAGTTCTTCACGACGACAAAGTAACAACGAGCCCAAAACATGAGTAATGATTGCGCATATATAAGTGAACGCATGGTCTTTTACCTACATCAAATGAGGCAACCAACAGCACGAAATCAAAGGCCGTTTATAGATTTCGTGACTTCACTAGCTACCCTGCTTTTCATCTAGCCCATTAGTGTATTTATTAGCACATATTTAAATGTTGACTTTACAATGTCCAGGAAGTGCATATATTTGGCTGCCGCAGTGGACAACGTTTGAAAGCAACTTCTCCTTCTCTTCTGTCATTTTTGCTTGCAAAATCGAAGCAGGCTTTTCCCGCTGTCGTCACCGGCGATTTTTTTGACACAAGGTTACTTCTCGTTAAGACCTCCAACAGTAACTTAATGTTTCTGACTCTTAGTGCCTTAGTAACAGGTGAACTTTGTAGCAATCCACAACAGTAAGTGCCACCTCACAGCATCTCATACAGTGCTTCGGCCACCAAATTGAAGCTTCCAATAGCACAGTCTTCCACCCAAAACATATGCAATTATTTCAGTTTCCCAATTCCAGTGCCTAAAAAATGAACCAACGCCATCAGCATAAGATGGAATAATTCAAAACGCAAGAATACTTAAAAGCTGCTGCATTTAAGGGGAGAGAAAAAATAAACAGAATTTTTTATTTGCTAGTGGGAAAAATCTGGAGCAAAAAGCAAGACAAAAATCAGCGGAAACCCCAGATAAGGTAAACGTGAAATAAGTAAAAACTGTACAGGAAGCATTAGTGCCACACAGTTCAAAGCAACAAAATTTACAAAACTAATCTTTAAGTTTTGTAAGCCCTATAAGAAGCAACAACGACGGCAAAAATAGCGTACGACAAAAGGACACAGCATAAGTTATGTAACAAATATTATACTGAAGAAAACAACTGTTACAACCTTCTATTAATATAAATTGAGAAAATTTTTGCTATTAAAATTCACCGATAACAGGTAGAGATATGATACAGCAGTATATGCAACGTAAGCAACCATTAAAAAAATTAAACAACCTAATCAATCCCGAGAAATAATTAGCTACGATTGCTTTGAAACACGACATTCGAACTAACACACTAAGTTCAGTAAGAGAAACAGAAGTCAGAGTGCATTAAATGCATTTGGTCTAGATAAAAAATATCAACAGAAGTACTTAAAGAATGAGTTAGGTTTATCCAGTAGAAAAGAGGAGATTCAAAAGCATTCTTAAAGATCCAAAACACTACTGGAAATGTAAAAAGAAGCGATCAGTTTACGGTGAATGGAGGATGAAGAAAGACAATCTTGAGTAAATCACGTAAAAATTTAAAAAACTTAAGGGCTGAAAACTGTAGACCCCTAGAAGAAGTACGCAGCAGAACCTAGTGAGCTGAAGAAGAAAAGATGAAGTAAAGGTATGAGGTGTCACAACTGAAACGTTTGGGAAGTACTAATCCGATGAAGTTGTGTCATCAGACAAAACTGCGCATGGTTCCTCTCCGCTAACTGTCAAGTCAACCGCAGAACTTGTGTCACTACAACTCCTTGAAAAATAATGCTAAAAATTTATGGAAAAAGCCTGTTTTGAAAAACGATTCATATGTATTTTCTACCACTGGCATTAGTGGAACAGTTGCGTAACAATAAAGAAGTACAACAACCTTGAATCAGCAGAATAAAATGATTCTTTTATCGTCAACTTTATTTTCCTTGGTGTATGATTTGCATGTTTCTTTGAATCGTAGGACTCTCTATATTTTCTTCTCATATATCGAGCTGAATATCCGATATCGTCCAACGCTAACAATGTCTGAAAAGAATTTTCGGAACCTGCACGAAGAACAGCAAACGGCACAGGAGAGAAATCAAACTAGGAGTGCTACAAAAAACAATTGACAAAGGGACTAAAACTGCAAAAAATAATAATAATAATAATAATAATAATAATAATAATAAATAAAAATAAAATTGACAGCAAGCCTTTCAAATTAAGTTACTAACTGCAGGATTCCAAACTGAAGAAACTTGTCCTTTTGCAAACAATTTTCGAAAATCGGTGTACCTAAAATATTACCGTTTAAAAGTTATATATATATACATATAGTGACTATAACATAGGTAAGTTTAAGAATAATGCATGCATATTACGAAGCATGATAAAATGAAAAAATTTAACTTACTCGTAACCAGACGAGAAGTATGGAATGCTAAATCCTACACCTTTCTTTCTAAACGTGTCATCAACCTCAAAATTTGCCACTTTTGGTTGCCGAACTACAGCTTTATGAGTTCCAAAAACTGCCATAGCCGCGTGATAAAGCTAAAATAAAACAATGAGAGAAAACTCCAGTAGGATGTCTAAAGACCGCTTATTTATACTGCAAAAAATCAGCACAAAGCGACTTTTAGTCACGAGAAATCAAATGATGCATTACTTCACCTCCCAACAGTTAGCACAGAAATACTTGAAGCAATTTCTGTTCCTACAAAAATATGTCCCAGAATCAGCTAAGCATTGAGAGCATTTGCTGTAATCCAGGAAAGGATCAATCTGTAGCTTCTTGACAAACTTTGAAGTTCTAATCTCCAAAAAACCATCTTCAATTGCTTGAAAAAATGGAGCATCTGAAGCAAAAGTGATCCGACCACTTCCTGAAAACATCCGTCTCAAAATATGTTATTGTAGATGAATTTAGAAAGGAGTAAGCGCAGAAAAACTGCTTGCTGTCATCGGAATTAGCAATTCTTCAGATAAGTCCAAATTCCGCTAACCCATTGGGTACTTGTATTTATCGTTATCCAGGCAGACAAACACGACAGAACCGTATATTTCATTCATTATTGAGTACAATATCTTAAAATTATCCATTTAAAACAGGATGTTGATGTGGTGTCTAACATGCGAATAGAACACAAAACTACGGGCTCTTCTCACTGTTTCCAAGCAGTCAGAAATAAACTAGAATCAAATACCTCTGATGTAAGCATGCCATGAAGCGCTCCAACAAAAACCGTTCTTTCGCGCTCAATTTTGGTGGTTGCATCACTAACGTAAACTGAATCACTAACGACCCATGGAATAACTTGCACCTGAAAGTTTTATCAACTGCTAAATGCTGATAATGTTGTTTATCACGGTGCCTTCATCCAAGAAACGTATGAGTTTGAGGTATTTGCAACCGAAGCAAAATTTAGATTTTAAGTATCCATACTTGTCTTATTTCAGTAGAAGACTGTGCACGACGGGCTGAAAGTTTGTAATGGTACTCTCCCGCTGAACCATAGTCACGAGTGCAATCCTGAGCAAGAACATAAAAATAAAACCAGACCGATGTTTACAAACACAACAGATAAAAAAAAAAGACAGACTCTCAAAAGCTTCCGAATTGAAGCTTCCTCTTCAAAAATGATATAAACATATCCAATCGCTCGTGCATTGCGTGAATCACTAAGTTTCGTTGATGCTTTTTTTGGCCACTCAATTGTACCGATACCATATTCCCGAAAAGCCTAAATTTGTTTGTCAAATACACATAATAAAACGCCAAATATTTTTTTAGAGTAATTGAAAACATAAATGTAGAGCTAACTAAGAATTATGGTATATATATATATATATATATATATATATATATATATACGCATAAGTAAAAAAACGCATGTGCTTCTACACTAAAACCAAAATGTTTTGTAGCAAAACTTTTTGCTCAACCAGTGCTACAAGTTAAGTGACAAATAAAGTAACTGACGTTCCAAAGATCCATTTCTGTGATATCCCACGGGACGCCTCCAATAAAGACTTTTCTGGAAAAAACCGGGTTAACGTAATTGCGTGCAGGAAGCTCTCCCTCCCAGACAACCGGAATAGCAGCATCACGTGTGCGAATTACTCTACCCATTGGGTATGTGCGTCCCGGTTCTAGCTTGTATGCGGCGACTACCAATTTCTGCAAATTTTACAACAAAAACTCACCTTACCTCAAGAGAACCCCTACTCACTGGCAAGTTAACAAATGTGTGCACAAAAAAAGCAGATAAATAAGTAAAAAAAAAAATAGCTCTTGGTTGTTACCTTAGCCGTTGCAGCGTCGTATCCGTGTTTAACCAGCCATCGTAGCATCTCTATTTGTTCTTCGTCCCAGTCTTGTTTTCGTTTTATCAGAGAAAAGTTTAGCGCAGTTTCACTGTCATTATGTAAATATGGTTCAGTTTCACCGTCCCTCGAGTTACCCTTGAACTGTTCATTATGATTGAGATCTGATGGGATATCCTGTAGAAAAGGATATTTAGTTAGAGCAATTCTCACTTCGGTGACGGCACAGAAGAAAGCCTATCCATTGTAATTCTTCATTACTGCTGCTGTCGTGTAACGAAAAAACGACGATGAAGAATGAAACACAGAGTATTCTGTATTCGTTTAAATGACGCTGAATGAACAGCAATCATTGAAAACAACATACCGAAGTACTCCCAGTGAGTGATTGCATATTTTACGAGTTATTACGTTAAATCTAAGCAATCGGCTTATATCGAACCACCAGTACACTGCAAACATATCTGTTAAAAAGCATCCAAACAGCACACGTAGCCTTATATGTTTCAGTACCCACTAATGTAACAATCAAAGTAACACCAAAATGATAGCACAGTGAAAAGACCTCAAAGCAACAAGTTGAACATAAAAAGTAATGGTGTGGCCGTTGCAATGTTATGTGTAAACTAATGGAATCAACGTTCGCATGAGAGGCTAAAAATCCCGGAAATAACAGGTTAACCGCTTCAAGCAAAAAAGCACGGTCTGCAAATGAGTACTGTAGTGTGTCTTAACCCCACTGTGCTGATAGTTCACCAGTATTAATCTTTTCATGAATGCAACTGCTTTCAGTACAAATATTTACGGTCCGAAATAGCGGATTACATTAAAAATTTTCCAAAAATTTTTTTCTAGCATAGGGCTTCGATAACCAAATTTGTAATGGTACTGGTACAAATGCTGCTGTGTATTGACAACTTTACTGTTATTGTGATTTTCAATCATTCAGTTAATGGTGGATGAAGAGATAAATATTCTGCGCAGTTTAGAGGAGATTCTACGTGAAGCAGTTGCAGTAACGACGCTAACCTCAAAAGAACTTTCCGAAGTTAGTAATTTCTAATGTTCAAAGATAAATCCCACTTTAACAACGGGGTTATTTATTTTTCTGCAGATAACAACTTTTTTTGTCATATTACAGTCATCATTTGTGATCTCATCGTTATTAACATTTATTTCTGAAACTCTATAGTAACGTTAACTAACCAAAAAGAATTTATTGCATGGGTTTTATGAAGAATTAGCTGTTGCTTTTAAATATTGTTGTTCAGCCAATCTTTCTTTCCATTTTTAAAGGTGAACTTGGCTTTTGAAAATGTAAAAGGAAAAACTTTTTGGGAATGTGACAGGTTTATGGGTCTCAGTGTTCAAGAATATTTGAAAGCATCACAAAATTGTGTTAAAATTGCTGCAACTGTGATCGACAAATGTTTTATTGGAGATCGGGTAATTTCTAACTGATATGTTGAATTTGCTGGTTTCTATTCTGATAAAAGCTGATTTTTTTTTTTTTTTGACAATTAGTAACTTGTCTAAAACATTATAATCTGAAGAGGTTTTCTCGTCATTTTAACTTCTGTTTGTTTTTGGGTGTGTAGTTCTTTGATTAGGTTTCTTAAGGTGAAACATCCAAAAGTGAAAGAAGAAGACGCTCTTGATTCTTTTTTTTCTGCTAGAAGGGAAGCAATAGAAAGAACCATAGTTATCGACAAGACCAGTTTACCGTTTTTTAAAGACGTAGTTGGCTTGGATGAAGTTTGTAACTTTTTTGCTTGCTAACTCTCATTTCTTAGACTTAATTTGCTAATTCCTCATCCTACAAACTGTTTTTTTAATAGAGTGCCAAGTCGATTTTCTATCAGCCAATATTTTTAATAGCCAACGTTGTCAATTTTCAATGTTCTCATTTGAACTTTCTCATTTAAACCAGGCAAAGATCGCAATGCGGGAAGCATTAATTGATCCATTCACATACCCGGAATGGTTTGCTTCTTCTGGATTAAAACCGTGGCGTTGTGTTCTTCTGTATGGTCCTCCTGGGACAGGTTGGCTTTTTTAAAGGGCATTCTTTTTTAAAGCTCAAATTTATAAGAAAATATTGGCAGTTAATCGCGTTCAGCAACTCGGAAAATAATTTCTTGAAGATTTTTTGATTTATATTTGTAGGAAAGACACACCTTTCACGCTCCATCGCTCGTGAAGTGAACTGCCGTTTTTATCAGGTTGTTTTCAGACGCTTCAGATTGAAAACTACAGAAATATAAATTGTTCAGATTTTGTAGTTTTTGCTTTTTACTTGTTTCATTTTTCTTGAATCTGTTGTAGCACACTTCCATCATAAAAACTAACTTACCTTCTTAGCCGAAATCTTTGAAGCTATCTACTGTTTTTAAGGTATCTTCTTCGGACTTGATTTCGACTTGGAGCGGGCAGAGCGAAAAATTAATACGCGAACTCTTCAATCATTCACTCAGTTATGAGGGTGTATCTGTTATCTTCATTGATGAAGTTGATAGTCTGTGTCGAGTGCGATGCTCTAATGAAGACGAAAGTACTAGGAGAGTAAAGGTTAGATTATGGAAATATGCGTTTCAAAAACAGATTTATATTGAAAACTTATTCCAGACAGAACTTCTACTGCAGATTCAGAGGCTACATTGTTCAGAAAATAACACGGTATTAATCTGTGCTACAAACTGTCCGTGGGATCTTGATGCTGCTTTCTTGAGAAGGTAAATATCCTGTTTAATTTCTAATCCTTGAATAAAGAAACCCAATTGTTTAAACATTTTTTTTAAAATATTACTTTCAGATTTGAAAAAAAAATCTATGTTGGTTTACCAGATTTTGAAGCAAGACAAAGTCTACTCAGAAAATTGCTCGGAGTTAGTTTGATATTAGAAATCTTACTAAGACTTTATTAGATGACTTTATCATTTTTGTTCTTATCATTATCGTATCTTAACTGCAAGTCGGCTGTGATGGAGTTCAGAAAGTTTGCGTGGAAAACAGTGTTGACTGGGATTTTCTGGCCGATTCTACGAAGGGATTCAGTGGTGATGACTTAAGAAGACTGGCTAGGGAGGTTGCATTTGTGCAGTTTCGCAAGTATAAGGTTGAGTAATTTCTTCTCTAAAGATTCCTCTTAATTACAAATGCTCTGATCGAATCTGCTAAACTGCCTGATTACAGTGCTTAGTTTTTGGTTGTTGTACACCAGTACTTTATAGATGATGAAAAATTGTATTGTGATAAGGCATGGGGTCTATGGTTTTTAGAAGTCTCGGTGTTCAAACACAGGAGGTGACGCTAGTGGTGTCAAAATAACAATACATGAGAATGAAATTAATGATGTTCTTCGCGGGATTACTCCATCAGTCGACCAAAGAACTTTATCGGTTTTCTCACACTACGCAAAAATTACTTGACAGCTGACTCACTTTTGATGATCGTTTGCTGTAGGAATTTATCACTGACATTTTTTCGCGTGTCCAATTCTTATAAAACTGTTTCCTTAAAGTTTATGGCGTTCTTTGTGTGTTTTTCTCAAGGTCTTATTTATAAATACAACTACCGCGGAAATATTTAATTCCTAACTTTATTTTTTTTTTGCTAGGATAATCAATCTTTTTTTGCCGAAAACAACATTCAGTAATCCCTCATTAGTTGTGTCTGAAAACTATTTCAAAAATCACTTTGTTTAGAGATTATTAGTACTAGAAGAATTTTTTTAGTAAAAAAGTATGGAAAGATTTCAAAGTAATAGTGCCATAAGATTACACTAATTAATTATTATACATTCCCCTCTTTTCTCCTCATTTTTTTTTATCTGGAATACGACTAAGTTGTTGAGGTAACTCTCAATAAAGACCGACAAACCATCTTTTTCCAATTAAGTTAAAAATTTAGTAGTAGGTATTTTAAATAATTTGGTTATCTGATTGGTCTTGAGGTAAAAATATCTAAGTTTTTTCCGACAGTATCATTTATTTTTGCTCTTATTTTCCAATAACCAGTCGTTTATTCAGTTATTTTGAAAAAATAACATCATGGAAGCCTTGTTAGGCAGGATATGTTTTGATGTATGTTCAGCTTGCGTGTAATCTCGTTTCAGCTCACTTATTCAACAAATTGAACCGAAAGTATTTTGAAATAGTAGTGAAAAGCTCTGTAAGTGAAACGAATTCAGGGGACGATAAGCCATATTTAAACTGGTCAGTCAGAAGCAGTTTGAGAAACAGTGGACTTGTCTGGAATTGTGTCGTAGAAAGAAAAGAAAATTTAGTAGTTTCAAAAAATATGGATGTGAGGGCTGTTTGACCTACTTTTGTCGTCGGCTGTGAATATAAAAGTTATATTTTACTGTTGGATATCAATAGTACTGTTGCTAATTACACTAAATTATTAATAGGTGAAGAAATAATTATTTTAATAAGCTTAACGAGGAAACATCTATGATTATGAGATTATGAAAATTGCTTTTTTTTAGGTGCAAAAAAAGTTATTTTTCTTAGCTTTCGGCAAATTTGGTGGTAGTTTTGGCATGGACCAGAAGATCATGACTAAATTGGCTGTCATGTTGCTGACATCTTTTAGAAAGTGGCTGAGTAAAATTATTGGCAGATATAGGCGGCAGTACTTTTTATCTCTTTAGACCACTTGCTTAGCTGCGCTTTTAGTCGGCTTCAAAATCCGACAATAGGTTTTCGCTATGTCTTTCTGATTCAGAAACAAACAAGAAAATTTCCATTTTATACGACGTTTTTTAGTGATTAAGAAACTGGATACTTCAGTTTGCTTATTGTATCAAAGTATCAGAGCTAGGAAAAATCTCAACATCACAGGATAGCGCATAAGACGATCATCAGATCTAAGGTTTTATATATAGCTAATAAAAACCGTAACAGTACAAAAGATAGCCGTTTAAGTAGAAAAATTTTTGGCACTGTATTACAGTTAACAGTTTACCTCATATGACAGACACTCCATGTATTTAAACCTGACGAAAAGATGAGTCAAAAATTTCTTGAGTAACTTGATGGGTTCAGTGTGTAAAAAATCTTTTTCTTCAGTACTGTTTTTGTTATTTAATATTTAAGGTAGTTTCCTGATTAAGATTTTGAACGTCTAAGACAGCAATCAGGTTTCAAGATTTTATAATAGTTAACCTTTCCGTTGGTTACGCAGACAACTTGAAATTTTAAACCGTGCGTCGTAAGTTATAAAACCTTTAGTGCTCAAATTGTTTCTTTTAATTGTAATATTTATCTATGAGTGTAATGTAAGTTATAACTTGGAGCTGCAGACTGAATCCTATGAAACGAGATACATACAGCGCCGATAAATCATTCATAAGTTCTGTTGATGTTGCTGGAATATGCCGAGTAAGAGTCAAACGCAACAATCTGTTCATCATCAGTTCAGTTAACATCTGTAATATGTGATCATAAATTAATATCGTCAGACTATCGCATAAAGAATTGCTGCTGTTGATTGAAAATAAAAGTCAAGGCGCATTTGTTTTTCAGCTTTTAGCCTGTATGGTAGAACTTTTCTTTCTTTTCATGTAATTTTTCACAGCATATAAATCTCTTTCTATGCAAAAAAAAAGAAGAAAAAAGGAAAAAGAAATGGCAGTGGACTGTAGTTGCTGCAGAACTAAAAACGATGTAAATTAGGAAGATATTGGCTGAAAAATTTGGCGCTTAATGAGTTCAAATGTACGTTATGGTATCTGTAGAAATTAAACATTTGTAATTTATCTGCATTTTCAGATATGTCGTCGATCAATGTGTCATAAACAAATATGAAATACGGAATTCCTTAAATTTACTCTAATCTGAAATTTTTTTTTGATTTGTTTCAAACTTCAATAACAACAATTTTCTCTATTATTTAAGCAACGGTTATTTTAGCGCGTAAGCAATGCCAAAGCATCATTTAGTTGTTGCTGATGCTAAAAACGTTTCGTCAAGTTATTGAGCTACTTTTTGGACAAAATTAGCTTCAAAAAGCTTAAACATCAAAATATTGCGGAGGAAAAAAAAAATTTTTTTTCTTCAAAAAATTTAATGCATTTATCCTTTAAATGCCAAATTTGAAAGAGGAAAAATTAAGAAAACTAAAAATTACCGCACATCGCTTTAGTCGTTTAAAGTAAAAATAACTAACTGCCCAAAGATTGCTGCACTTTCAGTAGTTTTCATAAATTCCAATTGTAACATTTTTGATAAACAGCTGTATATATGACATCAAAATATTTTCTTTTCTTTAACACTTAGCGACTTATGCAACTGAAAATATTTCACTCAAAGAAGCTGAGGCGTAAAAGGTAAAATAAACTTTGAAAGACAGTAAATTTGACATTAAAAAAAACGATAATTCTCTTCAGCAATGTTTTTTTTCGTTGTTTATTCTACAGTTTTGACAAATTTTATTAAAGCGTTATTTTATCGTAACTGTTAACCTAAAAAATTTGTGATTAAAACTGCTAATTTAACAAAATTTAGTTGAAAATTTTGTTGCTTATAGAAACGATGAGATATACTGCTGTAAAAGTTCTTTGAATTCAGTGGCAACAGTTTTTTAACCAAATTTTTTTCAAAATTTTTCTAATTAGCAGAAAAAAATATGCAGTGAAATAATACTCATAGACAAATATATAAAGAAATTTGGTGATGATGAAAGACAAAATTATAGCTATTGAATGTTTGTTTTTTCATTAGTTAATAAACTATAAAACTTTGAACTTAAATGTGCACAGATAATAAAATTGTAATTTCAAAATTATTTTTTAGCATCTCTTCAGATGTTGAAAACATCAGCAAATTTAAAGCAGCAATTTGCTACAATTTTATGATTTTTGTCAGTGTCAGTTTTCACATCTGTTATGCAGTTAAAATTTTTTATATTCTTATCTAATTATTACGTGAAACTGAACTGATCAAAAGCAAAAAAAGCTTGTTATCAGTTTAACTTAACTATTGGTTAAACATTCTCAAACCAATACTGTCAAAAATAACAACAACAGTGAGGTTTAAAACTATTATTAAATTTTTTTTTTTTTTTTTTCTGGGAAATGAGGAGGTTATATTTGTTATGTGCCTATTTCTTCTTCTTATTTTGCTTTTATTTATTCTCTTATGTGTTTGGTCACTGTGATTTGAGCAGCAATTACACTTCAACTTTTATTGCTGTTGATTATATGCTCGTAATTATAAATATTTTTGAGACTAACACTCCAAAAACACATTTTCTATTGGAAAAAAAAAATTGACGTATTCTGCTAACAAGCATAATATTTATAACCTCTTAAGCACAATGTTTTTGGTTAAATCAGAAATAAATTTGCTACTACTACTGCTACTAGTACTGCTGCTGCTGCTGCTGCTGCTGCTGCTGCTGCTACATAAAATGATGTCGATGATAATGATGATGAGATTTAGGCACAAATTTATATATGCTTATATATTTATAAAGATGGATAGCAAGCATATTATAATATTATATATACACACATTGACACTGCAATCTTTGATTTCATGCTGCTTTTTTTTTTTTTCTTTTCACTGCACAATCTTCTTTTCTTCACTCTTTTGAGCTTTGTCTCCAGAAAAAAATGACCTTATACATTTGGATAGATAGACAAACAAAACAAAACAAAAAAAAAAATTTTTTTCCATTAACTTTTATTGCTGACCATCAACTTTTTGTCAAAGATTTATTTGACATATTTAAATTTGCAATTTGAGACTAAACAATTAGGTGAAGACAATAATATATGGGATAATAATGATTGCTCTCTGTAATGGTATTAATAATTGTGCAATGATATTGATAATAAATATAATTCTTTCTTTTTTTTTTTTTTTTTTTTTT